ACAGGCTTGTTTCCGAAAATTCGTTCAACCTCCGACCAGTCCCTGGAGTGGAATTCTCAGAAAATCGTCAACTTCCTTGACTGTGAGACATATAGACCGAGCAACACTATGGAAGATAATGAGACATTTATACGTGCATACCATGTATGAAACCGTTGCCACATTGTCTGACAGTACTTGCACTTTGCGACCTTTGACAATATCTCTGAAAGCTAGTAAAGTCAGATATACCGCCAGTATCTCTCGATAATTTGAACATCTTTTTGCAATGTAATGCGGCCAGTAGCCTTGAGTTTGATATTCGGTGTTTACAATAGTGTCCCCAAATCCTATTTTCGAGGTATCGGATGCGATTTGCATCACTGGTTCAACTGCCACTTGTGTGGAGTAGGTTCGACCGTTCCACGCGGACAAGGAATCATACCACCATTCTCGGTCTCTTCTCGATGCTTCATCAAGCATATTAAGTACATCCTGCCTGGATGATTTTGTGCTAAGCAATCTATACAAGTTTCGTATAAGTAGTTTAGAGAGTGAAATTGCTTTTGTCATTCCAATTAGATTTTACAAAGTTGAGGTACCAACCCAAATTCTGAAGCGTTTTAACCTCAAAAGTTGTATGTTCAGTTATTTAAGTGTCATCACTTCCACATAGAATTAAATCGTCCACATATGCTAATATACGAAGTGCTTGTTCTCTAAAATAATGAACAATTGTTCGAATGATTTTACAGAAGAAATATGGGCTAAAGCTGGCACCAAAGGGTAATACATTGAATTTATAGAAAGAATTGTCCCACTGAAATCCCAGAAACTGTGTGAAATCTTTATGTACTGGAATATGGAAAAAACCATTCTTAATATCAAAAGTCTTTGTGTCTCGCTATGTTTAACACCGAATCGATGTCCTCATACAGAAACTTCTTTGGTGTACAAAAACTGTTCAAGTGTCTTAAATCCAAAATCAACCGATGAGAACCATCCTTTTTAGACACAGTATTCAGCGGTGACACAACAAACGGTTTTCTGAGCATTTTCCCACTCAATTCTGTTTAACAAGCATTTGTATTTCCTCGTGGATGAATTCTCTCTCTTCCTTTGCTAATTTAGCTTTAGAATGAAGATGCACTGGTTGGCTGGGTGGACCTGAACTACAAAAAAAGGATTTTTACACCATTTTCTACTCTGTCTAACACTTTAAGAGCCTGTATAACCTTTCTCCACTCTGACAGTCTCTGTTTGATCGACGCTTCGAACTCCAAAGGCTCTATCTATGTCCAGGTCTAGTGCCGTCTAGTCATTCCGCATTGGTCCCTGTGACCTTTGGAACGGCTGTCGCGGAAACTGTGTTGGGCTCTGAAAACTAGAAAAACTCCTGCCACTACTGCACCAGCTGGGTGTCGTGTAGCGGTATCCTTCGGAGCCCAACTGATGGCGTTGTGGCCGACCTCTGGTTAACACGGTTGCTCACTGAAGACAGCTCTGTAGCTATTGCCATGTTTTGAAGTGACTGTTTTGAAATGCAGCTGAATTATTTTCAAGGTTACTAAAGAGCCTAGAGGTTTCTTCGTCGAAATAAACTTTTCACCACTATGTTGGAATACTCCCCTTGTAGGAACTGGGTCGAAGCTGAGAGAAAAGGGAACAGTGTGTTCACATATCCAGCCGATATGTTATAACCGTCATTTTCGTCTTTAGGCAGCGAAGATAAAGCTTTCAATGCCGTTTCTTTAAATCTTGCTGATTTTGATAAGATTCTTAGTACGCGTTTGTTCTCTTGTTTCACCCCAACTGGGGAGTCCTGTACTTTAAGCCAAAGAGGCAAGATAATTTTGGCAACAGAGCCAAGAATGTCCTCAAACTCCTTCTAAATGTCAGCAGCACAGGCTCCAATAGCTGTGGGGCTGTCATATGTTGCACCGTGCCTGACAGGGCTCGGGTCATACCGTAACTCAGTTCTGCTATCTTCCTGCGTAGTGACCTTCACTTCGTCTGCCATTGTGTCTCAACATGATCTATTTTACACGTAACACACACCACAACAACTTTACTCTCTGTGCAATACACGCCGCACAGAGATACAACTCACGACTCACGACTCACAACACCGAGACAAACTGCAAAGCGTGCTGTTGCCCCGGATGTTGGCTTCGGTCAAAGCCCGAGTTGCCCGAGTTGCCCGAGTTTGGCCTTGTACACACTTGAAATAATTTAAAATAAATTAAGATGCCAATGTTATGCTGCCAAACCTGGGTCCAAAACGATTGATTAGCTCCTAGAACATTAGAACTCACAAGTCCACATGTAGTTCACTTTCAATTAAAAACGAGACGTTGTAAAACTCAAAAAAGTCCCACACTGACAATGTGTGGCCTGCCTGAGAAAGTGCACAAGGTAAGAACGATAAATCTACACATCCTCGTGTGTGAAATCGATTACTCAATTAATCATGACATCATGTAACAACAATCACGGAATCCCACAGAAGTTGGTGAACCTCATCAAGAACATGTACGAAGGGACACGTTGCTGGGTTGTACATGATGGCCAGCTCACTGACAGCTTTGACATCAAGACTGGTGTGAGACAGAGATGCTTACTATCACCTTTCCTCTTCATATTGGCAGTCGATTGGCTCATGAAGGAAACAACAAGAGGATACAGAAGTGGTAAACAACGGACCCCATGGACACAGTAGTACGATCTGAATTTTTGCGGACGGCTTGGCGCTTCTGTCGCACACCCATGAACAGATGCAATCAAGGACTTCAGCACATCAGAGTCTGTTGGATTGAGGTTCCACCCCAGAAAGTCAAAGGTCCTAAGGACAGATGCACAAAGCAAGGGGCATGTCACAATAGAAGGAAATGCACTAGGAGGCGTCGAATCCTTCTGCTATCTTGAAAGTATAATTGACGGAGAGGGAGGAACAGGACCTGAAATAAAAATCCTGCATTGGAAAAGCACAGGCCGCTTTCATATCTTTGAATAGGATTTGGAAGAGCAGAGATGTCTCATTTCGACAAGTTGAGGATTTTCAATTTAAAAATGTGAAGTCAGTCCTGTTGTATGGATGTGAGACATGGAACGCATCACAGACTTACATAAAAAGAATCCAGGTTTTCTTGAGAAAGTGTCTAAGAAAGTTACTGAGGATCAGATTGACAGACAGGGTCACAAAAGAAGTGTTAAGGGAAAAAAGACAGATTCAAGTCAGAGAAAAGGAAGGAAGAAGGCGGTGGCTATGGATTGGACCTTCTCTCAGGAAGTGAGGCAGCTGCATAACAAAGAAAGTGCTGAATTAGAAACCACAGGGTAAAAAATCAAGGGGAAGACCGCATAGAATCTGGAGAAGAATCACAGAAATTGATGTACAGAAAAACATGAAGACATGGAATAACATCAATAGGCTAGCCCAGGATAGAGAAAGGTGTAAAGTGTTTGTCAGTGCCTTATACCTTAGAGCAGAGTGAGAATGACAATGATTATTATGAAAGTGATGTTGCTATAGTGTGGTCAAAAATTCGTAGCGCACCTTATTATCAATTGTTAATGTATCCTCAACTATAAAACATTGGTTCTCCAATTTTTGCACAATGACTTGCATCAATTTGGCTTATTAACAGATCAAGATTTTTGTGAACACCTGCCAGTGCAAGCTGTATTCTGGAAAATTCCTTAATAAATATATCTTAATTTAAAAAGCCCTTGCATTTGCCTGAATCAACATTTTGTAGGACGATGTGTGCACTCCATTTGCAGGAGATGTTCTGATGTGCTGAATGCAGATCAAACGGCGCACTGATATGTAACTTCTGGATTTCACCCCTACAGTAAAATTTCAGCCATAAAAGAGAAGTTTTGCTAAAAAATGATCCTTTCACCTTAATACCTGTCAACTACTTCATAGTCGAAAAAAAATCAGTATTTTTGTACTGGGAAGACGGACCGAACGAATAAACAGGGTTGTATCTTTTTATAGCTAGTATACAAGCAGGACAAAGCTATTACCGTACCATTGTGTAATCCTTCGATTGACAGAGTAGTCAAACAGGAGACAAAGCAATGTTTCAATGTTGGAGTATACGTAACATTTTAGAAGAAACGAGCTGCAAGAAACAAATAGTAGTTTGGTGTATCAGTGAAAGTTTTCCAGCCTATCTAGACGCATTCACTACCATCATCACTATGTCTAATTATACCAATAGAACAATCTATAGCTTGTTCACATTCGTCTGTCAGCGATTAAATCGAGAATAAAACTAATTCCAATGCGTTATCTTCTATTGGTTTAAAAAGTTGGATATAACCAACAGAATCTAAAAGCACATTAATGAAGGAAATTGGGAAATGATAATCCGACACGTTTTCTTTAAAGCATGTCTTCTGCTAAAATATGTGAGTAATAACTATGGTATCACTTCCTCAAAATTAACAATTTCTAGGTTTTGTTGCTATATATCATTTATTTTGACGATCCTATGTATACACCCAAAGGGTGGTATTTAACGTAAGACCCAATTACAAAGTCTTCTAAATTTCTACATTGAATGAAAAAAAAAGAAATACATAGTTCTGTTTGGTCAGTGGCCTATGGGGGTGCAATGAAAAATCCCATGCAGCAAGACAAGTTTTAAATGAGCCAATTTTTTAAAGCAGACAGACAAAAGTGAACCTGTTTTAGGGCTTGTTTCGGTTCCTTTTTTCCCAGCAACTTTTCTTGTTAGCCAACTTGCCCTCAAATGACTTGAAATACCAGTGGAGTTAGGAAACAAAAGACCTCTTATCAGCAGACAGACGTAGGCGTCACATAGTCTAAATGCACCAGATCTCGCCAACCTTTGAACTGAGTAATGTTATCATAGTGTGATAGTCGGTGTCGTGGGGCATAAAAGGAGATGTTAGCAGTGTCAACCATAGCTGCAACTCATGATTTGAAAGTACAGCTGTTGTCATTCTCGTAACTTACTGTTAAAATGGCGGCGGCATGGTTGCTCCAGGCTCTCTATACCTCCATACTGAGCAGTAGTGGTCTTCAGGGAGGACAAGGAGGACAAGGGGGAGGACAGGTAGGGAGGAATGACGTGTACCTCATGGCCAACACCAGCTACGGTACAGTCAGGGGAAAGGTGGACTTCACAACTCAAGTACCTGTGGCCAAGTTCTACGGCATTCCATTTGCAAAACCTCCGACGGGTAAGAAATTCTGTTTGTACTAAAGACGCCTCAAACGAAGCACATGTATAGTCACAAATACTAACAATTTCTCATTTCTGAAACATTTTGGAGCTTCGAGGAATACCTGTTTCTTCATAGGCTGACGAAATGAGACGAGCATATTTGTTTTTATTTCTGTCCTCGGAAACGAACTATTTTAAATAGCGATTCTACAGCGCCACAGAGCAAGTTTCGATTACAAAATTTGCTGTGGCACTAAGGGATGAATAATGTTTGAGCGATTAGGGCCTCACTTAATTACTGTTTCTATCCTCTTGTACCGTGGAGCTTGTGAGACCGTTCAGATTTCCTTTTTGTGCCTTTCGAGGGTCCTCTTTGACTCCATTAATCTACTTTTTAATGGGAAGATTTGTACCAGAATGTCAAAAAGAGATATAAAGCCAAGGCAAAGAGATTAAAAGCGATGAGGAATACAGAGAGATACGGATAGAGGTTGTAGATAGCTAACGAGAGAAGGGGACAGAGGGAGTGTGCAAAAGAAAGTGATAAGGATAGAAAGAGAGACAGACAGACAGACAAAGAGAGAGACGTAGAGGTAAGCGAGGAGGGGGAGTAGGAGGAAAATGGAGACAGAGAGAGAGAGAGAGAGAGAGAGAGAGAGAGAGAGAGAGAGAGAGAGAGAGAGAGAGAGAGAAAGAATGCAGAAGAAAGGAATCAACTGAGAAATATGATACTTAGACTCAAATTAGATTAGACAGCATACAAACGCGGTTAAAACTCTATTTTCAGTAAGCCAAAGATGAAAGAAAGATGGAAATGCTATTTCCAGGAGCTGCTGAATCCTTCAGGAGAAACAACACCAAACAGTTTCTCACCAAAAGAAACCACTCCTGAACCATCAATACTGCTGAGTGAAACCCAACATGCTATTAAGAAAATCCCGCCAAACAAAACGCCAGGCGTAGTCAACATCACAGCAGAAGAGATCAAGATATGTGGCCATATCAGTGAACTCTTTCAGTTCAACAAAGAGAACAGGAGTTGCTTGGTGGTGCCTAGATTTGCACTGATATTTTGGGATTTTTTTGCGTAATCCTGTGCATGTTATTTTACCATTCGCAAGTTGTTCGTTAGAATATCTTAATGATTGATGCTGCTCTTGCTTTCAATTTCAATATACAAACATTGAAAAGCATTATGTTATCATTAACATTAAATCAACTAGAGATTTGCTTCATATTGGATAAGGCTTAGGCCTTCTATGAAAGTAATGCAGATACAAATGAAACCGGATCATCACATAGCTTAGTGACTATTGTTCGAAAAACGTTGTTTAATTAATTACCTTTGAAATCTGATTAAATGCAGTGACTTCTAATTAGGTTATCGTAAAATCTTAGCAGATAAAAGATCAAGTTCTGTTTATGATTTTTTTTTAAACTACATTCATTTCATGTTTACTTTCAAAGTTACACAAAAAGAGAATCCAAAGCATATAATCCAAGAGTCCAATGTCTTGTTAGTGTTTGTTCTGTGATAGTTTCTTGCCACCCCAGAGAAATAGTAAACTATGTTCTCTCTTTCAGGACTGCTACGTTTCAAAGCGCCTGTTACTCCAGACGCGTGGAATGGAGTCAGAGACGCAGTTACCTTCGGGAACGAATGCTTACAACAAGTAGCACCTGCATTTACTCTCCACAACGGGGACATGCCACCAAAAAGTGAAGACTGCTTGTACCTAAACATCTACTCTCCCACACAAGGAAATGCTACAGGTCTAATGCCCGTCATGGTGTGGATACATGGTGGAGGGTACACTATAGGATCAGGATCCCAGTATGATGCCACGTCTCTAGCAACAAAAGCTGTCGTCATAGTTACCATCAACTACAGAGTAGATCTTTTTGGGTTCTTGTCAACTGAGGACGATGCTATGCCTGGAAATTACGGAATGCTGGATCAGATTGCTGCTCTTAAATGGGTAAAAGATAACATTGCTTCATTTGGAGGTGACCCAAATCAAGTGACCATTTTTGGAGAAAGTTCTGGCTCGGGAAGTGTCTCTCTCCTGACATTGTCACCTCTCGCCAAAGGTCTGTTCCACAGAGCGATTATGGAGAGCGGTGTTTCTCTTTCTCCATGGGCCATCCATTACCCTGCAAATCGAGTGACTGCTCGAATGGCAGCCAGGTTGATTAGCGAGGCAGCTGGGTGTGACGACTTGGAGAATTCAACTTCACTTTTGTCCTGCTTGCAGCAAGTGGATGCAGGAATGTTGCTGAACGTTTCTATCGCCGTGAGCAGAGCTGTAGATGCTGGTATTATAATGGCTCCGAGAGTTGAGACAACATTTGGCTTCTTGCCAGAGTCGCCAGTTACACTTCTCTCACGGGGCCAGATTAACCACGTAGACACTTTGAGGGGATTCAACACTGATGAAGTAGGAATGTATATCCCTGCTTTTCTTCAAAATCCCCCCAAACCAATTACAATGGAAGTTGCAAAACAAGTTATTGCATTTCAACTGAAACAGTTTACCAATTTACATCTTCAAGAAGTTATAAGACTGATGCAGTCATCATTTCTCACAGATACGTTGAACAGTGACTTACTACGGAGAGAAGTTTTGGATGCTGCGAACAGTTTTGCAGTTGTGGCTTCAACTCTAGTAGAGCTGAACGGAGTTGTGCGCACTGCCCCAGAAAAGAAACACTACATGTATGAGTTCAACCACAGACCAAGTTACAGCAAAGCACCTCAGTGGATGTCAGCTCAACACGGAGAGGAGCTATTCTTTGTTTTTGATATCCAAATAAAAGAGTGGGCCGACAATGGCTATGGTCCACCGGACGCTACTGATATTCTGGTATCTCAACAGATGATGGAACTGTGGACCAACTTTGCCAAGACAGGGAATCCAACGTCAACAGTGCCCAATGGAGGAGTCACGTGGAACCCGTACAGCCTAGCGACACCGTACTACCTTCGTATTAATTCTGCTCCCGAGTCAAAACTATGGTCTAATTCCCGAGACGTTGATTTTTATCAGAAACTTCTAGAGATCATGGACGGAAGCAAAATGACAGTTTCTCCCACTATTTGGTAAAACTTAAATAGACAGACTCTTTGATTTCAAATAAAGCATGTCTGTGTGTCTTGTCTTTTATAAATGATAAATAAAGCCAAGTGTCTCATTGTTAATGTATATCTAGCGTACAGTATTGTTGTCCCTTAAATTTAAATACTCGGGTCTACAGGGCCACTACAATTGACATGACACTGAACTCTGTAGAAAATTCTCCCAAATCAGACTTTGTCCTTCTGTCAACTTCCTTGTCTTGCTCTCTTCACTCACCACTGTCACACTCATAAACCCTAAAATAGTTAAACTTAAGTTGAGGATTGATTCCTTCACTGAACAGGTGAATACATATTTTGTTTTCATCCTACCTAGCCTTTGAGGCATCCGAGGAAACGAGCAGGTCGACCTACTAGCGAAGGAGTCTTTTTCGCTCCAGGCTGTTGGGTTCAACAGAGAAACAACTTTCCACAGATTGACGTTAAAAATAAGGTCAAAACAATGTCTGAGATGTCATGCCTAATTTGGGCAGGCAAAACTCTTCGGTTCGTCCGGGAAGAGGCAACGCTATTTTAAGTAAATGACATATTGGGCATAAGTCCGTGACACATAAACGGTGTTTAATTGTCTTTGTAATCTAAGTGAATGCAGTGAGCGTCTGGTTAGATTATTGTAAACACTTGGCAGGAGAGAGGAATAACTATGTGATGTTAAACGCGAGACCAACTTTATGATAGGACAGATCATGAAGGAATGTCCAGACTTTGCAGAGACCCGAAGGAAATATTAGAAAGGTACGAATTCAAATAATTTTTACTCCATCATTGACCCCAGCAGAACGATTGATTTGATAAGGCCATTGGTCTTTACGGCAGACTGTTAATATGGTCATTTTGAATCAATACATTACTGTTCTTTTACAAATGATTTTCACTATGCATTTTCAAATACTACAACCATTCCGACTTGCAAAGTATATGTAAAAACCAAGCGTACAATAAACGAACATGAAAAAAAACCGATTTGTGTCCCGCATGCTCATATGACATTATGCAGTTTCAAGCGCCATAAATTTTTACCAAACACTCGAGATTGCTAGTCTCGTGATTGTTTTGTGAAATGTAATATTCATTTTGACTTTGTAGCAAGTTCTTAATTTTTTATTTTAGAATTTAGCCCGTTTCACTGATCTGATCATCGACTGAAAAGATGAAGCCAAGATTAAAGGCAGCCTGCTGTTTGTAACATTGGTTATTTTAACTTCCACAATTATATCTATCACTTTATCTACCTACCTACGTACCTATCTTCCCAAATGGGTTATTTATCGTTTTAAAAAAGTCACCTTGTAAGGTCGACCTTATGATGCTTGGTTCATTGACATAGAACATTTTTACTTCTGGAAAAGTACTTTCTGTTCCTTCCTCTATGCATTACATGATACACAAATGAGAACCCTTTAATTGGTATCTAAAGAAATACCAAAATGTTGGCGACTGTGCCTTAACACGAAGCCACACTGTATGCCCGCCACCCCAGCCGCCCACAGCCGCAAAGACTGACATTGCAATTAGCAATAAACAGGCACGTCACAAAAATTGTGACTTGACTACAATCCTTCTTTAGAGAAGAACAATAGGTTATGATAAAGCTCTTAAACTAGGACTTACCAACACGAAGCCACACTGTATGCCCCCCACCCCCGCCGCCCACAGCGCAAGGACTGACATTGCAATTAGCAATAAAAAGGCAGGTCACAAAAATTTTTACTTGACTACAATCCTTCTTTAGAGAAGAACAATAGGTTATGATAAAGCTCTTAAACTAGGACTTACCATTTTTTTTCGATTCTAGATTTAGAAGTAAAACGCTGTTAGAAGCATGGCCTGTTAGTAACATTTAAAGGCAGGTCACAAAAATTTTTACTTGACTACAATCCTTCTTTAGAGAAGAACAATAGGTTATGATAAAGCTCTTAAACTAGGACTTACCATTCTTTTTTCGATTCTAGATTTAGAAGTAAAACGCTGTTAGAAGCATGGCCTGTTAGTAACATTTTCCTGCCTATCTGAATTCTGGATGTCGTTACTATCATCACTCCGTTGTGTAATTTATAAAGAGTGCATTCTACGGCCTGGTTCAGTTCTTGTTCTGTTTGACTTTATGTTTGCCCATCGCTCTTTGAATGTCTTTAAAAGGAGAGAGGCGGCCTTAGGCGTTACAAGGGCTAAATGTATCCAATCAGATTACCCTTTGAATTGAGTAATGTTTTTACTGGCTAATAGTCGGTATCTTTGGCTATAAAAGTAGATGTTCGTAGAATCAAACACTGTTGCAAGTGTTGATTTGCCCATTTAGAAGTTGTACTTGTAACTTAGGGTTAAAATGGCGGCGGTCTGGTTGCTCCAAGCTCTCTATACCTCCATACTGAGCAGTAGTGGTATTCAAGGAGGACAAGGGGGACAAGGGGGAGGACAGGTAGGGAGGAATGACGTGTACCTCATGGCCAACACCAGCTACGGTACGGTCAAGGGAAAGGTGGACTTCACAGCTCAAGTACCTGTGACCAAGTTCTACGGCATTCCGTTTGCAAAACCACCGACGGGTGAGAACGTCTTTTCTAATGACCAAACATGTCTCGTATGAAGTATAAAATCACAAACGTTACAGCTATCTCACAGTCTCTTCTCATTCTAGAGTATCGTAACTGGTGGAATAAGTCATGTCTCATGTCTCTCTTATCAGAAACGAATAATATTGAATAATGATTCTGCAGTGATAGAAAAGAAACTTACACAGTCTGCCCGAGCCATTCTTGTCTGCATGTCACGACAGCCGCAACACGAAAACAACACTTCTTGAAGCCATGAATAACGTAATTTCCTACTGCGATTCTGATAAAAATGTCAACTTCTTGAACGTGTTGGATCTCTCAGTAGCTGCTTATACAACTGACTATCACATTTTATTAAGGCAGTTGGGAGTGCCTTATGGAATAACTAGTATTGCCTTCAGTTGTTGTTCTTCTTACCTAATATACTGATACCAGTCTGTGGTCATGATAGGACACAAGGTAAGTCATCACTACATGTTCTTAAATATGGGTTCTACTGGGACCGGTCTTTGGTCTAGTTTTGTTCATAATTTATGCTCAACCTCACGTGAAAGAAAGAAATAAGTATGGCTTGAAATGTCTAATCAATACTAACAATGCCCAATTTTAGGCTTCAATAATGTCTACCAAAATAGATGGACAGTTCCATAGAGCTGAAAGCTGTATTGTTTCTGTTGCAAACCGGGGGAACAAGATCATAATTGATGTTGAACGATGGTACAACAGAAGTTCTTCTAGCCCACAATGCAGTCTTTAAAGGAGGTTAACAACTATCACATGAAAATTAGTGAAGCAGAAATTTCATTTTATCTCTCTCTCTCTCTCTCTCTCTCTCTCTCTCTATATATATATATATATATATATATATATATATATATATATATATATATATATATATATATATATATATATATATATATATACATATATATTTTATATATATATATATATATGATGTTATAATACGCATTTCTGTTGTTAGTGAATTCTATTTTTTTAGCATAGGATGTGCATATGTGTGTAAACGTGTGCACGTTTGTGTTGGCGAGTTGGCAGGTGTGTACTCGAGAGAGAGAGAGAGAGAGAGAGAGAGAGAGAGAGAGAGAGAGAGAGAGAGAGAGAGAGAGAGAGAGAGAGAGAGAACTGCAAAGAGATTGAATTGTGCGCTTTTGTATGTGGTATTGTAATCGTGTAAGTGTGCAGTGTTTACATTTCGTTTCAAGTATTCCAAATAGTGTTCATTTAAATTTCTCTCAGTTCAACAAATAATAAAACAGTTACTTAGTGGTGCCCAGATTTGCACTGATATTTTAGGTGATTTTTACTGAATCCATTGTATCAGTTTACCATTCGTGAATAGCTCGTTAAAGTATCTTAATGCTTGATACTGCTCTTGCTTTCAAGTTCAACATACAAATATTAGAAAGCATTATGTTGTCGTTAATATTAACTGAACTAGAGATGTGCCTCAAGTTTGATTATGCTGAGGCCTATGAAAGTAATGAAGATATAAATGAAACCAAATCATGAAAATGCTTGTGACTATGTTTCGAAAAACGTCTAATTTTTTCGTATTCGTAATCTGATTGGATGAAGTGACCGTCTGGTTGGGTTTTCGTCTATACAGAGAGATAAAAACCCAAAAAAAACAACTGTACAACTTTTATTTTTGATATCTCGCTCACATTTTGTACTAGGATGATGTAATTTGGAACAGGTATAACTCGTTCAAAAGGAATTTGTTTGACATAAATTTACAAAGAAGAAACTTATTTTCACAAACGAAAATGGCACGAAAAAAACAACACTTATAAATGCAAAATGCATCAATTAAAAAGATCTTGTAATTAAGGAAAGTAATGGAATCTTTGGTTTGTTGTTTCCTTTCCTTTTAAAACAAAAATCCAATCTTTCCATCCCTGCAACCTCTATAAATATTTCTTTTCTCCAGCAGAGTTAATTTTTTTTTTAATCTGAAATTCCTAGAACCTATGGTCTATTAGTTTTCCTTTGGACTCGAAACATTTTAACGTGTCGTTCGTAATGCTCAGTGGTGGCCAAACACAAGGATCCACTCAACCATGAGTACTTAAAACCACACACACACAGTACACCTTACAGTATATAGTTGTTTCTATAGACAATGGGGGAGGGGGAGGATGTCTAAATAAACATCATATGCGGAGTTGATATAATCTTAGAGGTGAATATGAGCTTTGCCAAGGAACCAAATGTCATAGAGGAAATATTCACGCTTTTCAAGACGATCAAGGCTTCATGAATACATTGCTATCCTCCGATAGCTTCACGATCGAGAAAATGGTACAGTCGTAGATGACGATCTTCCTGGAGAATGCGGGCCGTTGAGATGTAGGAAAGTCATTGCTGCATACATCGTCTACCGACAGACGCCTCATGGGGCCCTGAAGTGGTCGTTTTATCTGGTAATTTTAAAGTTCTGATTCTCTACAGGTCCTAACAGAAGGCCTTAATGCACTTTAACATTATTTCTGTACCTTGTGCGAAACTTGCGAAATGAGCTGGTTGCGGAAATGTTCAATACAAAAAGCTCTCTGCTCTTTACTTATCTTAATCACGATCTCAGCAAGCAAAGAAAACTTTTTAAAAATCTATCTGCAAACTTCTGTTGGCCTGTTAGACTACTGTAGTTTGCAATATGCCGCAATCATAGGGATTTTTAGTGGTAGGCCTAATACAAACTAGTGCGTCATGCTACAAAAATGGGGACATAGCTGAAAATGGGCTGGGGTTTTTTACGCGCTATGTAGAGCAAAACTGTTTTGTGGATTTATCAAAAATGAATATCAGATAAATTCATTTTGACTTCCAAATGTTGTATACAAATTTCTGTGTGGAGGAAAATATTAGCCAAAAAAAGTGTACAGTTCTTGCTTGCTGTTTGTTTTGTTTGGTTGATGTTTTTCGGGTGGGGTTTTTTTTGGTTTTTTGGGGGTTTTTTGGAAGGGGGGGATGGATCACACTGCTTAGATGATAAAAGATCCAGATCTGTTCTTGAATTTGAATCATTTTCATGTTTACGTTTGCAGTTACACAAAAAAAAAGAAAATCCAAAGCATATAGTCAAAGAGTCCAGTGTCTTGTTAGTGTTTGGCGTCTGATAGTTTCTCACCACCCTTGAAAAAAAAAATTATGCTCTCTCTTTCAGGACCGCTACGTTTCAAAGCGCCTGTTGCTCCAGACGCGTGGAATGGAGTCAGAGATGCAGTTACCTTCGGGAACGAATGCTTACAACTAGTAGCACCTGCACTGAATTTTCACAACGGGGACATGCCGCCTTGAAGTGAAGACTGTTTGTACCTAAACGTCTACTCTCCTACACAAGGAAACGCTACAGGTCTAATGCCCGTCATGGTGTGGATACATGGGGGAGGGTACACTGTAGGATCAGGATCCCAGTATGATGCCACGTCGCTAGCAACGAAAGGGGTCGTCATGGTTACCATCAACTATAGACTTGATCTTTTTGGGTTCTTGTCAACGGAGGACGACAGGATGCCTGGAAATTACGGAATGCTGGATCAAATTGCTGCTCTTAAGTGGGTAAAAGATAACATTGCTTCCTTTGGAGGTGACCCAAATCAAGTAACCATTTTTGGAGAAAGTTCTGGCTCAGGAAGTGTCTCACTCCTAAATATGTCACCTCTCGCCAAAGGTCTGTTCCACAGAGCGATCATGGAAAGCGGTGTTTCGCTTTCTCCATGGGCCTTCCAATTCCCCGCAAATCGAGTGACTGCGCGAATGACAGCAAGGTTGATCAGCGTGGCAGCTGAGTGCGACGACTTGGAGAATTCAACTTCACTTTTGTCCTGCTTACAGCAAGTGGATGCAGGAGTATTGATGAACGCTTCCATCGCTGTGACCAAAGCTGTAGATGCCGGTATTATAATGGCTCCTAGAGTTGAGACAACATTTGGCTTCTTGCCAGAGTCGCCAGTTAAACTTCTCTCACAGGGAGAGATTCACCACGTAGACACTCTGAGGGGATTCAACAGTGATGAGCTCGGAGGGTTTATTCCTATTTTCATCCAATATCCCCCCACACCGATTACATTTGAAGTGGCAACACAACAAGTCCTTGTACCTCAACTAAAGCAGTTCACCAATCTTGATTCTCAATATGTTCAAAAACTGATGCAGTCAACGTTTCTTACAAATACTTCAAGCAGTGGTGTCCTACAAAGAGAAGCTTTGGATGCTGTTGACAGTTTTACATTTGTGGCTCCAACTCTAGTAGAACTAAACGACGTTGTGCGCACTGCCCCAGAGAAGAAACACTACATGTATGAGTTTAACTATAAATCAAGCTTCAGCAAAACGCCTAAGTGGATGTCAGCCCAACATGGTGAGGAGCTCTTGTTTGTGTTCGATGTCCTATTGAAAGAGTGGGCTGACACTGGCTATGGCCCACCGGACGCTACAGACATTCTGGTATCTCAACAGATGATGGAACTGTGGACCAATTTTGCCAAGACGGGGAACCCGACTTCAACCGTGCCCAAAGGAGGAGTCGTGTGGAATCAGTACAGCCTAACGACACCGTACTTCCTTCGTATTAATTCTGCTTCTGAGTCAAAAATATGGTCTAATTCCCGGGACGTTGATTTTTATCAAAAACTTCTAGATAAGATTGATGGAAGCAAAATGCCAGCTTCTCCCATTATTGGGTAACAATAACGGTTAAGAAATTATTTGATTTGATAGAAATAAATAATACTGATTTCGTGTCTTTCCTTTTAAAAGGGATAAATAAAGGTAATTGCATATTGATAAGATAACATCAAGCATAAAGTACTGGTGATCATAAAACACACCAGACACTGTCGCCCTCGTGTTTGATATGTTTTGTCTCTTTTCAAGATTATAGCTAAATTAGTATTTTTTTAAAAAAGAATTTGACCCGTTTCACCGATCAAATCATTGATTAATAACTAAACAATACGTACGGAAAAACTATTAAAGTAAGAACCATAAACAAGAATACAATCGCTAGGTAGAGAACATAAGTACATTTAAAACACGAGAGGGAACAACTCTAATAAAACAAACATTAATTTTACATTTTATAACGATAGTACTAGTGAATTTTTGTTCTAAAGTTAAAGGGCCTACATGACATATTTTCAGGCATGAGGAAGCTTCAGTATATGAGTTATTTTCCCAAAAAATGTCACATTTTAGATTCTCATTTTTTCGAAAAAATGAATTTTTATGAAAAGTTTCGACATAATATTGATGAAATGAATCAACCATCTATAGACATAAATATGAAATTTATTAGCTTAATTCCGTCAAATTAGAGCGTCACGGCAACTTTTGGGTGACAGTCCTAGTAAAAAGTTATCTCCTGTTACCAACAGAAATCATAGAGCTGTGTTACTGGAAAATATTTTGGGGGGTTAATGCACTATATGTTGGGGAAACTAGGTGTATTCATCAGGAAAATAATAAAAACGCTCTTCAGCTTAACAATCCACGCAAAATTATTTCGGATGTAAGTGCCAAATTTAAAAATCAGTGAAAATTTTAGAGTTTCAGTTTGTGATTATCACTCTAAGATCAAACACATTGTGATCCCAGGAATTTCTATTCCTTTTAGCAGTAAGGTGAAGCTAATCCTACACTAACTTTTTATAAACAAAGTTCAAGATTTTTTTAATGAACGTAAAAAGGGGTGGTAACAGGAGGGAAACGTGGGTAACAGGAGAGAAAGTGGGTAACAGGAGGGAACATAAAAGACTTTTATCAGGTTTTAACAACAAAACTCATCAAGAATGAAACACTTATATTAGTGATATCATCTAAAGGAATAGTTGAAGAATGGACGGGACTGTTGAAAGCATGTAACATATTCTGTCGAGATGTTATTTACTGGGTGTAGTTACCAATCTAAAAGAACGAAGGCATCAAACAATAAGTGGGCGTCGAAACGAAATATATCGAGAGGATATTTTGGACGCGTAATGAGAATAGGGCCGCAACTGCCAGCCTCAAAGGTTTACAAGATGCGATTCGATGGCTTGGAAGCAAAAGGAAGGCTAATAAAAAGATGGATCGATGGAGTCAAAGACATCCTTCAATTAAAGGCACACTATGCCGATCCGAAAAGCAACACACCTGGCCCATGTCCGAGAACTGAATCTCTCCTCGACACCACGCAGTATAAGAGATCAGATAAAATAAGAGTAAAGTGTAGTGTAGACAGCAGATTTTGCAAAGCCCCAGCGTGTGTGCTTTGTATTTCCCCTTCCATTTTACTCAAACAATTTTGGGCGACCTTAGCATGTACTCTTGCTTCATTGGCTTGAAGGTTGCTCTATGTCTTTCCTTAAACTGATGGTCAATATTCGAATCGTATGACTTGTACTGTCGAAACGTTTTCTGGAATAAAGCCCACAATGGCATCAGGAGTCTTGGAGCAGTAGATCTAGATGATAGTTGATGTTGGTGGGGCCCCACCTGCTAGTCGTCTGCTAGTTCTTCGTTAGCCAATGTTACTCGCTTCGGCTTCAGTGATAGAGTGACCTTCAGATTTCCCGCCGCTTGCACGAAATCACAGTCACGTGATATGTCCCTTAGGCCTACGTCACAATAATTATTATTAAGGTGTATTCACGCTACATGTCCTTCTATTTTTAAGGTGGGTTTACACCACATCTCCCCCTCTTTATAAGAGGAAATAACTTGAAAGGGCCAAAGCCCCAAATAACAAAATCAACTCTTAGGGCGACAACTATAACACATTAGTTTTCCTCCCAGGAACAAAACACTATATACAACATCTGATATTTACACTAGGAAGAGAGAGTACTATAAATTCAGTATTTCTCTCTGCTTGACCAGTCTTCCACTTCTAGTGACAACTGGCTTTGTCTCCGTCTCATTCGAAAATCCACTTGCAGAATCAATTTGAATTACCCCTGGCTCAGTTTGAGGTTGCCCTAACGTTGGTAAATTATTACTATCTCTGGGTATAGTAGGAGGTATAGACAGATGTTTATCTGATCTTTTTCTAATCTGTTGTCGGTTCCTCCGTGTAACATGTCTAGAAGAATGTTTGGACGTATACAGATCTTGGAATTACTTTTGCTTCCTCCAGCCTCGGAGTCTTAAGCCAAACCGACTGTCCTGGTTTTAACTCTGGTGGATTTTTCACTTTATGCCTTCTATCAAAATTCTCCTTGATTTTTCTTTTTATAATAGCATCCTTCCTCCGGAATTTCGTATCGTTCTGTCTTTCCTGCAAGGATGGTACTCTAGTTCTTAGTTTCCGGTTCATCAGCAGTTCAGCTGGACTCTGTCCCTGGGCCAAAGGTGTGGCTCTGTAATTTAAAAGGGCCAGAAAAGGGTCCTGTTCTTTCTTGAGCATGTTTTTCTGCTCTCTCTGCTTCTCCATTAGCCGACTGATGATGAGTGCTACTTGTAACATGTTTGAATTCATAATACGAAACGAAGTTACAAAACTCTGCTGAAGTATATTGCCTCCCATGGTCAATAAGTACTGTCCTGGGAATACCCATTCTTGCAAAAATAGCCTTGAAACTGTTGATAACTTTCTTGGAAGTAAGAGAAGTAAGGTGTGAAATCTCAATCCATCTGGAATAATAATCCACCACCAGCAGATAATGTTCTCCCTGCCATTCAAACAGGTCACTTTCTACTTTTTCCCAAGGGTGATCAGGAGTTGGAGTTGGTACTAGCGGTTGAGGAGGCAATACTCTGTGTTTTTCACACTCAGGGCAGTTATTCACTAGAGTTTCAATATCCTTAGACATCACAGGCCACCAAATACAGGTGCATGCTAAAGCCCTACACTTGACTATACCTTGATGCCCCTGGTGGATTCTCTGGAGCATGTCTTGCCTCAGTGAAGATGGAATGACTAGCCTGCATCCGTGCAAGAGAATACCTTGCTCCACCGCCAAACAATGACGCTCTGCATAGTATAATTTCAATATGCCATGCCTCCTTTGAGGCCAATGGCCCTGAGTGAATTAAATCACCTCTCGGCATTCCTTGTCGCTGTGCTGTGCACGTCGAACTTCCTCTGATCTTTCATCTGATATGGGGATCGACTGAAAGATTGTACTGACTTCAACTGTTTCCTCTTCTGCTTTATTGTTTTTCAAAGGAGACCTGGATAACGAATCTGCCGTAACTAGATCCTTGCCAGCAACATATTCAATATCGTAAGTAAATCTCAACATCCTCATCCTGAATCTTTGTATTCTTGGAGTAAGGAGATCCAAGTCTTTTGCTTTCATCGGCGACAGTAATGGTTTGTGGTCTGTCTCGATTACAAACTTAGAGATACCCACTAAAAATTCTGAAAATTTTTCACAACACCATGTCATAGCCAAAGCTTCCTTTTCAATCTGTGCATACCTAGTCTCTATATCCGTGAGAAATCTAGATGAGTAGAAAACTGGCTTCCAGCCTTCCCGGTCTTTCTGCAGTAGAACTCCTCCAATTCCAAAAGAGGACGCATCTGCAGACACTCTTATTGGCTTGTTTGGGTTGTAATGTTGTAGTACTGGTGTAGAACTAAGTAGAACCTTTACTTCTTCAAAAGCTTTCACTTGTTCTGTCCCCCATGTCCATTCGCTGTCTTTCTTAAGCAGGTCTCTTAGAGGTTTTGTCAAATCTGCCAGCATAGGTGCAAATTTGCCGACGTGGTTTACCATTCCCAAAAATCTTCTTAGCTCTGGGACATTTTCTGGGGTCTCAAGCCTGGTAATGGCCTCGACTTTCTCTGTGTCAATGCTGACACCGTTTTGCACTGACAATATGTTCAAGAAATTTCACTTTCTTCGTTGAAAACTCACGCTTCTCGTTTAGCGTAAGTCCAGCTTTGTTCATCCGATCCAAGACCAACTTCAGTCTTTCGTCGTGTTCTTTTTTAATCTCTTCCTCCTACAAGAACATCATCAATGTCACATATCACACCTGGTATTCCTGCCACGATGTTTGACATTTCTCTATAGAATATTTCAGGACCAGAATTGATCCCAAAGGGCAGTCTTTGGTAACAAAATCTCCCAAAAGGCGTAATAAAAGTAGTTAACTCTTGAGACCTTTCGTCTAGAGGAATTTGATGAAATGATTTGTTACAATCCAGCTTGCTGAAAACTGTAGCTCCATTCAACTGAGCCAATAACTGGTCAGTAGTAGGAAGAGGGTAGTTCTCTCTTTTAACACTTTCATTTAGTTTAGTGTTATCACAACATAGCCTGACTTTTCCTTTTGGCTTGAGAACAGCTACTATAGGAGCACACCAATCAGTAGGTTTGGTAACAGGTCTGATGATTCCTTGTTCCTGTGGAGATTTTAGTTCTTCTTCAACTTTATCTTTTAGTGGAAGAGGCAGCCTTCTAGGGCAGGTAAGGTTAAATGGCTTTGCATTGTCTTTCAACTCAATAGTATATTCATTGCTTGTTTTTCCTAAGCCTTGGAAAAGACCAGCATATTTAAGTTTGGGGTCAAACTTAGCTTCTGACAATCCATTTACAACTTCCACCACTTTAAGTGCTTCAATGGCAGGTCTGCCTAACAGCGGTTTTCTGAGTCCCTTGGTAGCGTATAAGTCTTGTTCTGACTTAAAACTGTTCTTTTTCATGGTTGCTGTGAATACACCGATTACATCTAGTTTTGACCCTCCCGGTCCATAGAGTTTCTTGTCAGTTTGTTTTAGCACTTTTGTGTCTCTACAATTTTTGTCTGAGAATACAGACACATCAGCTCCAGTGTCTATACGAAATGTCGTTTTCTGACTGTTGATTTATATCTCTGTGTGCCAGTTATTCACCGAATTTATTTCGTGTATTGAACCCAGGATGGTTCTTGTGGTATTATCATCAGTCTGA